CGCCTGGGCAGCGAGACCTCATCTCTACAATAAATAAAAAACTCAGCCGGGCGTGGTAGCACATGCCTGTAATTCCAGCTACTTGGAGGGCTGAGGTGAAAGGATCGCCGGAGCTCAGCAGATCGAGGCTGCAGTGGCCAGGGGCATGCCACTGCACTCCAGTCTGGGCAGCCGAGTGAGACTCCAACTCAAAAAACTAAACTAAAATAAAATAAATAAAATTTATTGTAGGAATGAGTTCTTACCAAGTTGCCCAGGTTGGTCTCAAACCCCTGGGCTCAGGCAATCCTCTCTCCTTGGCCTCCCAAAGAACTGGGGATGACAGGCATGAACCCCCTCACCCGGCTTAGTTCGGGAATCTTTTCATGACATCTTGCCAGGCTGGAGGGACATGCCATGTTGATAAGCCTCTTGCGAGATGCTCCACTATTCCAGATAATCTTGGTCATCATTCCTGTCTGGTCGGACAGGTGTGGTGGGGGCAGATTTCCAGTTCACCTGGTAAGTGTGGGTTGCTATTTTAGGTTCTTAATCTAGGAAGGCAGTATGATGAGCATCTGTTTTAAGAAGAGATACGTAGTCTGAGAGTGGTATCCAGGATGAATTAAAGCAGAATTAGAAATATCTGGGATGGGTGGGGCCTACTCCAGGGCCACTGAGTCTGAAACTCTGGGGAGAGGATCATATATTATGAAGAGCGGTCTGTTTCAGCAAGCTCTCTAGGTGAGTCTAATGCATGCTGAAGTTTGAGAACCACGATATCGAAGCAATCGTCGAGGAGTGTTTCTGAATTCGGATTGGAAAGAACTCATTCTCGGAGAGTGTTTCAGAATTCAGATCTGAAGTAAGAAGAGTCTCGATTTATGTGTTGGCAGTGGAAATGGAGAGGAAGTAATATCTCTGAGAGACGCTTGAGAGAAATCCTGGCCAAGATTGAAGTTGCTCTCCTGGTCATTCCTTGTGGCACTGGTGTTCTGGAGAAGGGTGTTAACTCCGGGTGAAAATCATAGTAAGCCACTCAGAGAAGTTGAGTTTACAGTTTTTGGATGTGCTAAGCTCCTACTTTTGTGCATCTCTCTAAGCTGGGGCGTATGTGAGGGGTCCCCCAAAAACCTGAAATGTATTGATTAAAAATTGTGTGCTTATTCTTACATGTTTAAAATTAAGTCACCTTCAAAGTACTCTTCATTTGATTTAATACACCCATCAAGACGCTTTTTCCACTGCTCAAAACAGTTTTTGAACTTGTTGATTTTGATGCCTTTTAGTGCTTCTACTATTTTTTGCTTCATCTCATCCGTGTAGGTAAAACATTTCCTTTTGAGGACTTTTTTCATCTGGGGAAACAAAAAAAGTCACTCAGGGTGAGATCAGGTGAATAGGGAGGTCGAGGCACGGCGGTCATGCTGTTTTTGGTCAAAAACAAAACACTCAGTGCAGTGTGGGCAGGTTGTTCATGTAAATGACCCATCGTGAAATGGGCAAACGGGTAGAAAGAATCTAAAAAACAAAAAAAATCACTGAAGCTGAATGCGGTTCTCTCTCAATAATGCTAGCTGGTACACAGATGCCGAAGGGTTGCTAGAACACTCACCCAGCCAGGGAACTTGACAAAGGTCTGGTTTTTTTTGGGGGGTCCCCCCCTTATATAGTCTATTCTCCCAGGTGACAGAGTGGCCAGCTGAGATGCAGAGTTGTGTGGGTATTTGGCAAAGGGAGGGCCAGAGTCTGTTTATAGCCTGTTTCCTGGTAATAAAGGATAAGCTATAACCTGAGAACTGGTAGGAAGTAAAGCTGGAAAATCCAATATTTGAAGAGAAGGAATGACTAGAAAACAAGTGAGGATTTCAGAGCCAGTGTATTTGCTCTTGTTCTTAGAATAAAATTCTTCCTCTCTGCCACTTTGGTTTCTGGGCTATTGCCTGTTTTCTTTCCTCATTTTCTAACACTCTCTGCTTTGTTGACCACATTCCCAGTTTAGAATTCCCCCTTCTGGCCCCAACCTAGAGATTCCCATGGCTGGCACCATTGAATGTCACCTTTTTCAAGAGCTTTTCCTATCCATCCTCATTAATGTTGGGCCTTCGTGTCTACCCCCTACCAAACTAGCTTCTATCCTAAACTAGTTATCCCAATCAGAGATGGTCCTAGTTAGTTCTTGGTCTACTAGTGTAATTCTACCATCCCTTCTCAGTGAAATGAAAGCTCCTTGAGAGCCTGGGATTCTGTGTGTCTTGTTCATTTCTGGATGCCAGTACCCAGAAATGCCTGGCGCATATTTAGCACTCCATAAATATTAGTTGAATGGATTCTAGTAAAGATTTGATTGGTAGGGAGTAGAGGTAGGCGATGGAAAAAGAAGTGAGTCTGCCGATACCAGGCAACGCATGATGGCTAACTTGGACTGGGTGGCAGAGATGAAACAGGATACATTAAAAAGACTTTCAAGAGGTCATACTGACAGAATTTGGTGATGGTCTGATATGGGAGATATCATGCAACTTTCTTGGGATACATCTTTCTATGAGAGGTTTGTGAACTCCTAGCAGAAACATAAGGGCAAAGCAGTTCTTAGCGCTCTAGCTATCCTTGCATGGAGAGCTTGTCTCGGTTCTCTTCCATCCCGAAGGAGGTGCCTCGATCTCTAGGCAAGAGGAACTCTTGGTTTCTACCCAGAGCAACTCCGCCTGCCCGTTTATCTGCCACTCAACTGTATTTATTGAGCTCTAGATATGCAGAAGGCATTGGTGGCACAATAGTGATGACAACAGCCTCCCTGCATTTGTGTCCCGGAGAGGGAATTTAGACAAGCATGTCCACTCATACTGCACGTACAAGAGACTTCTGGATGGTAATAAGTATTGTGAAGAAAAAAAAAACAGAGGTCAGTATGGAGTGAGATCAGCCAGGCTGCTCTGAGTGGGTGCTGCCTTAGCTGAGATCTGAATAACGAGAAAGAGCCTGAGAAAACCTGGAACAGAGGACGACTCCATGCGGTACCTTCAGAACCCTCTCCTGGGAGGGGAGTAGGTGAAGTGGGCCTTTGCTTTCAGACTTTGAAGAACAGATCCGAAAAGGTTGGTAGCAGAGAACTTCAACTTCAAATACTTATCAAGTTTATTTCTTATCAGGATTTGTGTTTGCCAAATCAACCTACTGCTCATTTACTTACTGAAGTATTTTCCCACTTAAATGTTGTTACACAAAACATTTTAGAGATGGCTATAGTTTCAAAGAAGAGCATTTCTGTCCATCATAAATGGTTCACAGATAATTTTCCAAAAAGGATAAAATTGTTGTACTCATACAGAGATAAAAATGAACGCATGTTAAAGGTTTTATTTAATTATTCGTTATCATTGATTAATTATTAATCAGTGAGGACACTTGGCAGATGTTATAACAAGTTTAAAGGAGAAATCAAAACAGAACAACTTTGTATGGAGCAAAGGAATGCTTGAATGAATGTGCAAATTCAGGAAAACTAGCTTCTTCCACAGTGGGGGAGGGAAATTGAACCTCTACTGGCCAGGACAAAATGGACATGCTGATAGACAGCAATTATTTTGCACTGCTATGGGTTATCTGTGATTTACAGAGTTGTAAGGTAGCTCCCTTAGAATCAAATAACTTGCAGAGGTTTCCTCTAGAGTCTAGACAATGCATAGTTTTAAACGGAATGCTTTTTCTTTCCCCACACATTTTCCCCGTATATAATTAAACTAAAGCAAAATAATCTCTCCCTCTTTCATGAACAAATGCGCACAGTTTCTACCTTGGTGGTCTTTGGAATGATGGGGGAGGGAGCTGTTATCTACTTAGTGCCTGCTACGGACATTCATCATTGGTTTATATCATCCTCACCACAGCCCCATGAAGTAGGTGGTGGTGTTCCCATTTTACTGGTAAAAATGTTGAGACTTGGGGATGCCGTAGACATGGTTATCGGCAGAGTTAGAATTCCATCTCCAAAGCCCCCCCCACAGACACTCCCTGGGGGCAACTTGCTAATAATTCTGTGTGTCTATTTTCTTGATCTTTAGTTCGCCGTCAGCCAAGATGGATCTCAAGAGTGGCCTGGAAGAATGTGCCGTGGCATTGAACTTATTTCTAAATAACAAATTTACAGACGCCTTAGAATTGCTTCGTCCATGGTGATTTGCTTTACTTCTTTTAGAGAAAATATTTTTTCAGATGTTTCTGATGACTCTTTGATGTCATGCTTGTGAGTTAATTATCTATTTCCACCTTAATATTTATAAGCCAATTTGGTCGAGGCCCTAACAGTTGGTCAGTTTTAAAATTCAGTTGAGAGACTTGCCTTCTCAAATATATTGTAGAAAATTTCTGACTCTCATATGTTAATCTCTATACTTATTCAAACATTATCATCTGATGCAGTTTTAGGGCTTTAATATTGCTTTCTTCAGTGAATTATTTTTGTGGTTCTTCCTCATAAATATTGAAAAACGTTTCCTTTGAAATGGGGAGGAAAGAACCAGAATATGCTAGTCTCAATGCTGAAAAAATTTTGAGATAATGAGAATATTATTGGAATTCTCTACTTATGTGAGAAACAAGTTAAGCAATTTAATTTCAATCAGTAGGACCCGTTAATTTTTCAAATATCGCAGCAAAGCCTGTGCTCAGCCAGTTTAGTGGACCTTCAGCTTGACAGGTATAATCTTACATTGTGTCTTTGAACACAGTTACTTCCTTAGATAAAGCTTAGACCTCATATAATAGTTTTCCGGACAATTACTTGGTCACAAAAGTAGGCAGTCCCATTCCTTATTTTGAGTGGTCAACAGGGTGACCAGACTCTGGCCATTGGCTTTGAATCTTAGGGATAATTTACCTACTGAGGAGCTGCTGTGGTAAAATTATTAAGATTTAGAATTGCCAGATCTTAAGATTGATCAAGACTGTTCAATTAGCACTTCACAGCTTAAGAACAAATGATGAAATAGATGAGGAAGCCCGCAGTCTGAGGACGTTGTCCAGTGTTGTCTCCAACACTGGTCTCGCAGTCTCCGCCTTGCCTGTCCGCTGCCTTTTTTCTCCTGTCCTTCTCAGTTCCTCACATGGCTCTGTCTTCTTTGTCCTCTCTGTCTTTGTCTTTCCCTCTGTCTTCTTCTCAGCCTACCGGCCTGTCTCCTTGGGGTTTTTTTTTAAATTGTTGTAAAAGAGGAGACTCCCCAAAACTAGAATTTATTTATAAAAAATTGTGTATTCTTACACGTTTAAACTTCAGTCACCTCAAAAGTACTCTCTGTTTGATGCAATACCCCTATCGAGCTGCTTTTTCCACTGCTCAAAACAGTTTTTGAACTTGTCAGTTTTGATGCCTTTTTAGTGCTTCTGCTGTTTTTTGTTTTACCTCTTCCACATTGGCAAAACTGAGGACTTTTTTAAATTGGGGAAACGACAAAAAGTTGCTCTGGCCAGATTGGGTGAATAGGGTGGGTGGGGGATGGGAGACATGCTGGTTTTGGTCAAAAACTGCTGAACACTCCGTGCAGTGTGGGCAGGTTGTTCATGAAAATCACCCATCATGAAATGGACAAATGTGTTGAAAGAAGCGCCAAAAAAGATCTACTGAAGCCGAAGGCAACCTCTCACAACAACACCAGCTGGTCCACTGATGCTGATGGATTCCCAAAACACTTAGCAGGGGAAGCCTGTACTATAAGGGGCCTGTCCCCCATAAAATAATTCAATTTTGAGGGCGTTTCCCCTCGTATCTTAGTTGTATATATTTTGGAGGTACATATAATGTTTTGTTTTCCGTATACAATGTGTAATGATCAAGTCAGAGTAACTGGGATATCCATTACCTCAAACGTTTATCTTCCCTTTACGATTCTTCTAGCTATTTGGACGTATATAATAAATTATTGTTAACTGGCTGGGCTCAGGGGCTCAGCCTGTAATCCCAGCACTTTGGGAGGCCGAGGCGAGTGGATTGCCTGAACCCGCAGGTTCGAGATCAGCCCGGGCAACATGGCGAGACCTCATCTTACAATACATCAAAAATTAACCGGGCGTGGTAGCATGCATCTATAGTTCTGGCTTCTGGAAGGCTGAGGTGGAAAGATCACTGGAGCCCCGCAGGTTGATGCTGGGGTGGCCATGAATGTGCCACTGCATTTTAGCCTGGGCGACAGAGTGAGAGTCCAACTCAAAAAAAAAAATTATTGTGCCGGGCTCGGTGGCTCAGCCTGTAATCCCGCGCCTTTGGGAGGCTGAGGTGAGTGGATTGTCTGAGCCCGCGGGTTCGAGACCCGCCTGGGGAGCGAGACCTCATCTCTACAATAAATAAAAAAATCAGCCGGGCGTGGTAGCGCATGCCTATAATTCCAGCTAATTTGGAAGGCTGAGGCGGAAGGATCACCGGAGCCCAGCAGGTTGAGGCTGCAGTGGCCGGGAGCGGCCACTGCACTCCAGTCTGGGCGACAGAGTGAGACTCCAACTCAAAAAAAATAATAATAATAATAATAAAAATGAATTAAAAAAAAAAATTATTGTTAACTATAATTTCTCTATGGTACTGTTGAATACTAGATGTTATTTCTTCTAACTGTATTTTTGTACTCAGGAGCTCTTTTGGTTTTTATTCGGATGTCTCCTATTTTTGTCTGGTCATAGGATGGAGTGAAAATAAGTGATTTAGGATTGTATTCAGTCAGGGTTTATATGATCTGATCTTTGTGCATGTTTCACTGTTAAAAACACTTTTTCCCCACTTGAATTCTTTTTTTTTCCTCTTCTCCACTCTTGGAAGAGCTTTTAGTTAAAAATGTGAGGTTTGAAACCACAATTAGTGATTAGCTTTGAGCTGCTCTTATTCCTTGTGGTTCTTTTGAACAGGCAGTGCCCTCAATGTTCAGGACCAACTGCACATTACCAAAGGATGTTTAGACTGTTTTCATGGGGGAAAAGAATAATGTGGCCTGCATTTGTTTTACCTAGCATCAGGCTGTTGAACATTAATATTTAAATTAAAGACAAAACCGTGCGTTACTATTTTAAACCTTATAAATCATTAACTAATATCAGTTAAGACGTTTTTGAAAGAAATGATGTTTTCACAGACTGAGAATCCGGGCGTCTGCCTTACATCAGGGCTAATTAACATCCTTAAGACTCCTAAAGCCGTTCTCACTGATAACTTGATACTCTGAATTCCAATAACTTTGATCAGGAATCTTGGATAATGGGATTCGATGAGAAACAAGTTCTAAGTTCTAAGTTCTACCCTTGTCCGGGCCCTTGCTTCCTCTTGGCCTTTAGCTGGAGGAGGCGAGGGATGATTTAAGTGAGCCTTTATCTTTCAAAAATATGTCAGCATCTCTTTGTCAAAAACACATTTCCAGCAGCCTTTATTTCAGCAGGCATTTTGGAGCCAAAGACAGTAGTAGACTGTCCCTGGTTTAGATGAAAAGAAGGTGGGTTTGCTTCGAAACCTTAGAATCCTCAGGCTGCCCCCTTGTGCTGAAACAGGGAAATCATATTGTCTACCTGGGCTTCATCCTGCAACGTTTTATCCTGCCCGTGTGGGTTTAAATGAGAAAGTCCTTGGTTCTTGAGTTTTTAAGAGCATACCTTTTGCAGCCCGTATCATTCCAGTGATTATGGTAAAGGAGCAAAGGCTATCCTTGTGAAAGTCGAGGCGAGCGTTTGCTAAGTTTTCTTTTTAATTTTTATTTTGCGATTGTGGGGGTACTGCTAAGATTTCTGAGGCTCCATATTGGACCAAACCTGGAGTGCTTTTTCTGTTGGGTGGAAATGCACTGACCCCTGTGTTCTCCCCAGGGCGAAGGAGAGTATGTACCATGCCTTGGGCTACAGCACCATTGTGGTGTTGCAGGCTGTCATGACCTTCGAGCAGCAGGACATCCAGAAGGGCATTTCGGCTATGAAGGATGCTTTGCAAACCTGCCAAAAGTATGTCTGAGTAGTTAAATTCTCGAGCTGTAACTACAAACCCTTATGCCTGTATGACAAAGTGAAAGGCGTCTGCCTGCTTGAGAGCTCTGTGACGTTGGCTGCTGTAACAGAGAAGGACTTCAGCCTCAGAGCATTTAGGCCTCATTAGTTTTATGGGATGGAGCTAAACACTTCCTATTAGGAATTGTGCTAGGATTCCTGTCTGATGTCTATCTCTTCCACTCTTCTTTGTGATAGTTTGGGGCCTAAGCTACAGAGCCAGTCTGAGAGGGATTTCAGTGGGATTAGTGCCTAGCATCTCTCGAGGGTCTCCCTGTGGCAGATGAGACCGGGGATACGTGCCATCCCAAGCCAAGCAAGAGGCGTTTTTGTTTTATGTAGGGCATGCTGTAAATCCAGAAGGAATTGTTTTATATGTTGAAGAAGGACATATCTGGACACTTTTGGTTGGTCAAAATGAGATGGATTTTTCGTTTTATTTTGAATTTTACTCTGTATATAGAAGAGACTCTAACAAAAGCTATTATTACCACTGGCACATTTTAACATGGGTAAAATTATGTTCTCATGTAACTATGTTACAAGCTCTTCAAATGAAAAGAGTTTCCGAATATTGCACTTTAACTCCATTTTTAACCTGTGGAGAATTTTTAAGAAATTTCTTTAAGAGTTGTGGGATGCATATGAGAATTTGCTCCATAAGTAAATTGCGTGAAGGGGAGGTTTGGGCTTCTAGCGAACCCTCCTGTGGAGAATCTTATCACAGAGATAGTGATTTCAGTCATAGAGATAAGGGAAGGTGATTTTCAGGCTTAGTGTTCATGGGTGTGCGTGGGGAAACCCACGCTGCTTACGTGTGTAGTAACATGGACTGAGCTCGCACAGGTGGCCATCCAGTGCTAGGTACAGAGTGCTAGTTAGACAAGGGTGGTCTCTGCCATCATGACTCTAGGGTTAGGCATCCAGCGTGGGGACTCTTTGGTGTGACTGTGACTGAAATGAATGCCCAGTGACAAGGAGCTCAGCCTGGTTTGTTGTTTTTTCTTTCTATTTCCCATCCCCCGCCCCATTTATTCAATGCAGATACAGGAAAAAAGTCACGGTTGTAGAATCCTTCTCAAGTCTTCTCTCCAGAGGATCACTGGAACAGCTGAGTGAAGGTAAGAATTGTTTAAAAGATTACTTTTTTAAGGGTTGATGGGAGACCCAAACTTCGCCTGTAAGATGACCACTTATGTGCCTGTTCCTGAATTGTGCCCCACAATAATAAATAAAAAAACAAAAGATTAATTTTTTTCTGTTCTTTTAAAAATTAAAAAATGATAATCTCATAACATTCAGTACTGAAGTGTGTAAAGTAAATAAAATGTCTTTTACTCTTTCCCATCATACTCACCCCCCCCAGAAGTTACCATTGTTAATAGTTGGTTTTGAAGCCTTGCAGACTTTTCTGTGTATAGATACAAATATATCTTAAGGCATACATAGGGATTTTGTTGTTGTTCATGTATTGTTGTTGTTGTTCTTTCCTTTTTGCAAACATAGAGTCTGTTAATACATGTTGTTCTACAATGCGATTTTTGACATTGCTATTTTCCCAGATCAGTACACCTAAATGTTCTTCATTTTAACAGCTACGTGGTTAGCATTCCATAGGATGGCTGTGTTATAACTTACTTGCTTTTTCTCTATGCTAATGTTTTCTCTGTTATAAATAATGCTATCCTAAAATCCTTGTACGTGTGTCTTCATGCATTTTTTCCCCAAGTATTTCATAAGATGTATTAGTAAAAGTGGATTGAGGGTTTGACAACTTAAAATACTTATAGATATTACCACTTTTCCTCCAAAGACTTTTGCTAGTTTATATTCTTACCTTGCATCCATGAGAGTTTCAGTTTTCCAGAAGGTATTGACATTTTGGTCCAAGGTAATACCTTTGATATCTTTAAAAATGTTGAGGTTTCACAGTACAGAAGATGTTTGCTTTGTGGACATTTATGAATATTAAAGAATTCAGAAATGACTGCGGCACTGCCCTCAGATGGGTGGGAGGAAATGGCTGCTCTTGTCAATTGCCTGGCATCCCCGTTGAGGTTAGGGTAGAAGTTTTATGATTGGCTCTGTTTTATTCGTGTTACACTCTAATCAAAATAGTTTATAAGAAAGTAGCATCCGGATAATCTTGTAGAAGAAAAGACTATGTCCTTCAAATGTGACCATTGTAGAATAAAGCTTCTCCTATCCAAGGAGAATTTGTGCCCATGTGGTCATTGTCAAACTTGTTCTCTGGAAGAGGAAACACAGAATATTAGAAGTAGCTTTGGTTGATTCTTGCAAGAGCAATTGTAGATACTGCTGTTGGAATCACTCCTATGGTCACACATATGGCAGATACAGTTTTGAGTGAGTTTTACTATGACATTTTGTTTATTGTGTAAGGTTATCAACTTGCTATGGTTATTGGAGAATTTGGGAGGATTTGCTTGGTGGGAGACCAGATTTGATTGCAGGAGAGGATTATGAGGCATATTGCATCTTCGGGACTTGCATCAAGGGGATACACTGTTGACCCCCAAACCGTAGTCAAGACAGAATGGCATTTCATTGGTCGCTTCAGGCAGCTGAAACCAATCACCCTTCTCTCCAGAAACTGACCTTCAAGTATTCATAAGAATTTACTTATCCCTTGGTTTCAGACAGCGTACAAATTCATATTTTCATTCTTTGGGTCATTTATGTAAATCAGTCCCAGTAAACCTAAAGTCCACTAAAGGGGTCAACAGAAGACATTGGACCCTTTTGTTATCTTCTCCTTTCTGTTACCCACTATGTGACCTCTCTCCAGTGGCCAATTGAACCTAAAATTCCTTTTTCTTTATAGTATGGAGGCTAACATTTGAGGTTTTTTACCTTAGTTTTGGGGAGAATGGCATAGTATTTTTTGGTGTGAGTGTAAATAATAATAATTTTAAAAATAAGATGATAATGCCCCATTTTTAAAAAGCCCTCTGTGTTTGTGCCAAATACTGCCCCTGGTGCTTTTCGTCACATTAACCAATCTCAGCTAGCCTCCTTGTCATAGTCTAGGAACTGATGTTCAAAGAGAGTAAACAAATGGCCAGGATTACTCACCCTAGCAGAGCAGGGTTTACATCTGTTCTGTCTTTCCTTCAATCATAACTTTTTCCACCCTAACCCACACCCGCCTATAGGGACAGCAGAAAAAGGACAAAATGTGGCATATATGGATGAGGGAAATGTCGAATGTTTCTGTGCGAGACATCTTGTTTTTTTTTTTTTTTTTGAGTCGGAGTCTCACTCTGTTGCCCAGACTGGAGTGCAGTGGCCGCTCCCGGCCACCGCAGCCTCAACCTGCTGGGCTCTGGCGATCCTTCCGCCTCAGCCTTCCGAGTAGCCGGAACTACAGGCACACTACCACGCCCGGCTGATTTTTTGATTTATTGTAGAGATGAGGTCTCGCTGCCCAGGCGGGTCTCGAACCCACGGGCTCAGTCAATCCACTCACCTCAGCCTCGCAAAGCGCGGGATTACAGGCTTAGCCACCGAGCCCGGCTGCGAGACATCTTAAAAATAGATGATACTGTGTTCTTATCTTTTTAAAAATGTCTTTAGACAATGACACTTTAGTAAATGAGGAATAAAGTGGAAAATTACTTTTTATTGATTAAAAAATAGGGTGTGGCTGGATTCTAGCTCTTCAGGAAGCTGAGGCTAGTAGGATCACTTGAGCCCAGGAGTTCAAGGCTGTAGTGAGTTAGGATCTTGCTGCTGCACTCCATGGGTGTTAGAGCAAGACCTCATCTCTAAAGAAAAAACAAGATAAAGCAGTTAGTCAACTAGCTTGTGAATATAGCCTATTCTGAAATACAGGTTTATTTAGCCTTTTATATCTAAAGGCTGTGCTTTGCCGACATTTTAGTACATCACGAAGACATTTTCTTCAGTGGACTAAGGAATTTATAATTGAAAGATATTCTGGTAGGTACCTATTCATAAATACCTAATGGCTAATTTTGAGAACTAACTAACTCTGCAATATAAATCAACCCCAGTGAAAGAATAAGGCTTTTATAAATTAACTTGCATTTTTTTCCTAGCGAGTTTGGCTGTCACTGCAACCCAAACAGACTTTGTGTTCAAGGGAGCATGTCAAAACATTGTAGCTTTAGTATGTGATTTGTTTTTCCTCTTGGTAATTTTCATTTACATCCCTGAGTGTCTGGTTGTCTGCAGGAGTGAGTCTGTTTCATGAAACTTTTCATGGGTTTAACGTGGAACACACCGGCTCTTTTCTCTCGTTGCTGGCATATTGCCCTGAATGGGTCTCAGATTGCCTTTAAAACAGATATATGTAGTGCCTAGTCTGTGACAGGAAGGCATACTTGTTTATGAAATACAGAGTTCAAACTCTCATGCCTTTCCTGTCTTCCTTCTTGTGACACCCTTTATGCTCCTCTTAGGTTTGTCTGTCTTTAGCTTAACACTGAGTGATCTGCCCACTTTTCTGCTCAGAACTGTGCGAGGAATGACCGTTGCCCTCCGAATCAAGCCCAGACCCTGACATTCAAGGCCAGCCATGATTGAGCCCTGGCTTACCTCTGTGGTCTCATGGCTTCTCCTCCCTTCACACACTGGTCTTTTCCCAAAGATGTTCTGGGCTTTCTTTGCTCCTTGCCTTTGATTTTGCTGGTATCTACTACTGTCAATAATATCGCCTCCGCGTGGGCCCCAACCAGCAGTGTGCTTCTAAGCAGACTTTCCTGTTAATTCCCAACAATTTCACTTAGTTATAAAGTTACCGAGGAAGGAAACATTCAGGTGACTCTGTAGAAATAAGTCTCCAGTTTGTGTCCCACAGCACACACTGAGAAAATCAAGAGGCCTGCTTCAAGGGGAGGCATTCCGAAGGATGGAGAGCCCGACTGTGGATGCTGCCACTCGGTGCAGGCTATACCTACCCAAGTTTTGTCTGTCGTGGGTTTGACCCCATCTGTCTGTGTGCCATTGGAGACGGTAGCTGTAGAGTCGCTTCTTTGTGAATTAAACCTTTGGAAACTGTGGCAGGCACTCAAAGCAACTTGTGAGAACCAGTGGGATGTTTGTGTGTGTCTGGTAAGGGTGGATCTGCGTGTGTAAGTGCAACAAAGTACTGGTTCTTATCCCTCTGGATTCACCAGCATTCCAGAGAACACAGAAATGCCCCATTTTTCAGTCCCTTACTCAACTTAAAGTTGCTTTCTGCCTTTGGGCCATTACTGACATGGGCCAAGGGCAATCATCTTGTTGAAAGTAGCCAGCAAGCTGGGCTCAGTGGCTCAGCCTGTAATCCCACGCCTTTGGGATGCGTGGATTGCCTGAGCCCACAGGTTTGAGACCCGCCTGGGCAACTTGGCGAGTCCTCATCTCTACAATAAATAAAAAAAAAATGAGCCGGGCATGGTAGCGCACGCCTGTAGTTCCGGCTACTCGGAAGGCTGAGGCGGAAGGA